CACACACACACACAAGAAAATTAAAACAGATGGCCCCTAAGGAATAACACACACATTTGATCTTTAGCCTCCACACACATGATTATAACATACCTGCACATAGGTTAACACATGTACCCATCTATACAAAAAATGAATGGATGGATGGATGAGAGGATAAAGAGTGGGAACAGTGCTCATAGACTAAATGTTAACACTAACATATTAAAAAAAAAAAAAAACATGAGAACCCTTGGGTCTCAATGTCCTGGAGCAGGCTGGCACCAACCTTTCTGGATGCCAAGAAAGATCAGGGTAGATCAATACACATACATGCTCACACATAACTCAGACTCTCTCTCTCTGTCTCTGTCTCTGTCTCTGTCTCTCTCTCTCTCTCTCTCACACACACACACACACACACATTCACATGTGTGCATAGGATAGTTAATAGACAGTGGACCCTCTGGTGATCACAGGGGCCTGTGAAGTCCTCCCCTTCACACTTATGCATCTTCCATTTGTGACACAAGTGATTCAATGTTTGCATCTAACACAGAACCTGGTCCCTCCCGCAAGACATTCATACACTCGCCTGTGTCACAGAAATGAAGCCCCAGAGTCAGCACCAAGGACAGAGCCACAACATCAGGACCGCAGACAGCAATTCATCTGACAAGGGGTGGGGCAAACACGAGGGAAATGGAGAAATGGTATCCCCCACCCCAAGCCCCATAGGATGATGTGGAGCAGCCAGTCAGTATCTCAGAGAAAGAACATTCGTTTGACGACCATCTGTGGAGGGCTGAGGCATTGACTCAGTGGTTAGAGTGAAGATGGACCTCATCCCCAGCAGCACATAAAGCTGGGTGTGATGGTGCACATCTGAAATCCCAGCACTCAGAATGTGGAGGCAAAGGATCAAAAGTTCAAGATCATCCTTGGTTATGAAGTAAGTTCAAAGCCAGTCTGGGACACATAAGACCCTATCACAGAAAAACATTGACTGAGCAACTTTCCAGTGTACCTGACATTATTTTGTACCACTTGGATAGCAAGACCTGCATTAACAATTAGACAAATAATGAAGGAAGTTCATGGGGGCTGGAGAGATGGCTCAGTGGTTAAGAGCACTGGTTGTTCTTCCAGAGGACCTGGGTTTGATTCCCAGCACCCAGCACATGGCTGCTAACAACCATCCATAACTCCAGTTCCATGGGATCTGATGCCCTCTTCTGACCTCCAGGACATCAGGCACACTCATGACACATAGACATAAATGCAGACAAAACACCCATACACATTGAATTAAACTAGATAATAAAACCCGGGCAGTGGTGGCGCACGCCTTTAATCCCAGCACTCTGGAGGCAGAGGCAGGCGGATCTCTGTGAGTTCGAGGCCATCCTGGTCTACAAGAGCTAGTTCCAGGACAGGAACCAAAAACTACGGAGAAACCCTGTCTCGAAAAATCAAAAAAAAAAAAACTAGATAATAAAAAGGGAGGCAAGATCCTTTTATTATAGCGTTGACACCACGGCAATGACAAAGTGCTAGTCTGGGAAGACAGAATGATCAGAGTGGACGCTGTGTGAGCATCATGTCNCAAACACAGTATAGAAATAAGTGAATGGCAGCTAAGGAGATTGGAGGAGACTGGTCCTATTCAAGAGGACAGACAAACATCAAGGATCTAAGGTCTTTGATGTTGTTTGCAGATCAGCAAAGGAAGCCAAGGACAGTCAACAGTGAGATGAATTTTGACAGAAGTCGACATACAGAGATAGAAATAGCAAAAGACAAGCCGGGCAGTGGTGGCGCACGCCTTTAATCCCAGCACTTGGGAGGCAGAGGCAGGCGGATCTCTGTGAGTTCGAGACCAGCCTGGTCTACAAGAGCTAGTTCCAGGACAGGCTCTAAAACCACAGAGAAACCCTGTCTCAAAAAAAAAAAAAAATAGGAAAAGACAGAGAAGTGTAAAAGAAAAGCAGAGACTGATCAAGGAAGACTAAGGCAAAACAGTCTTGTCCGAGAGTCTCAGCTCTTCTGGAGCCCACACTGCTCTTGCAGACAACCAGAGTTTGATTCCCTGCACCCACATGCAGTAGCTTCTAACTGCCTATAACTCCAGTTCCAGGTGATCTGGCGCCATCTTCTGGCTTCTGCTGGTACCTACACTCATGTGCACATACTACCAAACACACACATATGCACTCAGTTTTTAATTATCTATCTATCTATCTATGTTTTTTTTTTTTTTGAAACAGGGTTTCTCTGTGTAGCTCTGGCTGTCCTAGAACTCATTCTGTAGACCAGGCTGGCCTCAAGCTCACAGAGATCCATCTGGTCCCTGCCTCCCAAGTGCTAGGATTAAAAACGTGCACCACCACGGCCCACTATCTGTGCCAAGTTTTTTTTTTTCATATTGGCTAGAATCTACATGGTGGAATAACCATTATTGCTTCATATATAAAAATTATTCCAATAGTAGAAGGCTTGAAATGTATGTAAATGAACAGAAAAGTGTGTCTATTGCTATTACAAAGAGACTCATCTCTGTGCCAAGTTACCTGACTTATTCTGGCTCAGGGTTTCAGTAGGAACAGTCCCGTCGTGGTGGGGAAGACACGGAGGCTGCCTGATAGACCTGGATGGACCAGGAAGCAGAGTGTTCCTGCTGGCACCAGAAGTAGTTATCAGATATTGCCTTCAAAGCCCATCCCCAGTGAACCTCTCCAGCCAGCTAGTCCACAGTCCCAGAGGTTGTCCGCAGCCTCTGAGAACAGCACTGCCAGTTGGGGGCCAAGCGCGCAAACACATAAGCCTGTGAGACACATTTCACACAGCAACCCTATTATGTAGCACCTGAGAACAGGCCCTGTGGTTCTGAGTGTGGTCTGGACCCTCCTACTGGTTCCCCGGGTCACATAGGCGGCTGTATTCTGCTGTTCTGAACCTTTTGCTTAAAGTGTCTGGACTCTCCTCCAACGTCCCTCTCCATGGGATGGACTTAAACTTCCTGGCAGCTTGGTGGCTTTGAGATGTGGGAGGATGGAGACAGAAGTTCCTTTTGCTCTTAGCATGCTCCAAGCTGTTCCCACAACACTGTGCATTAAAGCAAATCGAAAGTCAGCCAGATAGGAGGAGGAGGACCATGCCATCTACAGCCGGGAGGGGTGGAGGAGACCAGGGCAACACTGATGCTCTTTCTCTCCCTCCCTCCTCCTCCCCCCCTCTCTGTAGTCAGATGTGATGACACGCATCTGTAGAAGAGACAGATGTGGCAGTGTACACCAGATATTGCAGTACATGTGACCTGAGGCAGAAGGATTACAACTTTAAGGAACCCTAGGGAAACCCTGGCTCAAGCACAAGAAAGAGGGGTGGGATACGATGGCACAGTACCATGTAACCTATGTGACATCTGGAGGCAGGAAGATCGGGAGTTCAGTACTATCCTGGCCTCATGAGTTCAAGGCCACCCTGTGCTAAGTAAGAACTTGTTTCCAAAACACTAGAAAATGGCAGGAGAGCTCATTGGTTAAGAGCATTTACTTGGCCAAAAGGTGCACACCTTTAATCCCAGCATTTGGGAGGCAGAGAGGTGGATGTCTGAGTTCAAGGCCAGCCTGGTCTACACAGCCTGTTCCACTGGGTCTATACAGTGAGTTTCAGGACAGTCAGGGATATGTTGAAACCCTGTCTCAAAAATAAATGAATGATGAATGAATGAATGATGAATGAATAATGAATGAATGAATAAATAAATGAATGAGTAAACAGTTATAAAATTCGAAAACGGAAAGCTGGTAGAGATCGCTCCGAGGGTAAAAGCACTTGCTGTTAAGCCTGAGGGCTGGAGTTTGGCCCACGGGACCCACACAGTAGAAGGAGAGATCCGACTCCTGATCACTCAGGAGAGCTGTCCTCTGACTACGCACACGTGATGTGGAATGCATGCATGCCCGTGCACACCTGCCAATCAATCTATCAATCAATGTCTGTTTAAAATGAAGAAAATCTACTGCCTTTCTGTAAACTAACGGGGAAAGGAAGACAGAAAAGGAAAAAAAGGGAGGAAGTTGAAAGCTGCAGTGTAGGAGTAACAAACACGTGCACTCGGAGACTGAGAGAGACAGAAGTCCAATGAGGAAGGAAAACTTGGAACTGGTCAAAAACATCAGACTGAGATGGATGGAGTCCTCAGCGCTCTCTTCCGTGGCCCGAAAGTGCCTCCAGGGCAGGATTGTCTGTTTTGTTTGTGGCAACATCCCCTGCTTTTAGAACAATGTCAGTCATTCAGTAGGTGCTCAATATAGAACAAGAAATATTTTTGCTATAAATTTGCAGAGCTCCTGCAGTTCCCAAAATCACCACTAGGTGGGAGTCTTCCAAACCCTGAAGCCTCCTTAAGCCATTCTCAGAGCAGGCTTTGTGTGATGTGCCTAGGACGTTCAGGATGTCTTCCCTGGGGCATGTGCCAGTTCCAGCACATGCCCAGGGCACCAAGTGACCTTTCCGCCTGAGACACCCTTTTCTCCACTTCCCTCCAGCACCAGCTAGTTAAACAACCCTTTGTCCTTGGCCCCTTCCGGCTGGGCCCTGAGGCTCCTGGTTCTTTTCCAGGTCCGGAGAGGAGGATGGGACAAAGGTGGGGCGTCTGGGAAAAGGCCAGGGAAAAATCCTGGGGACATTGAATCAGTTCTTCCAATCTTCCTGAATAGAACCGTGGGATCCAGCCCCCTTCCCGCCTTGTACCCAGAGCCCACCCTCCCAGGCCTCTCCCGCGAAGACTCAGCGCTTCAAGGCCCAGCCTCCTCCCTTAGATTTAGGGTCTAGGGCCAGGGCTGTGCATCTTTCTTTTGCAGACGGCAATCCTCTCATTCTTTCTCCGAAGATCCCCATCTCCTTCTACATCCCTTTCAGAGTTTCAGTACTGAGCCCGAGGCTGAGTCACAGGAAACCTCGGGCCCTGAGTCACTCCCCTCTCAGCTCAGCCCCTCCTGGGGCGAGAGAGGCAGAAAATGACGGCTCTTTCAACGGCTCGTGGCTTCAGTAGAGTCTGGTGTCTGTCTGGCACCGCCGTCAGTCAGTGCTGCACACTGGCGCGTCTCCCACAGCCATCCTTTCCAGGTATCTCTTATTTTCAGTATATTTGGAGACAAAATTTCTGTCTAATGTCCACGTCTGGATTTCAGATTTTGCTTTCTCTCCACTTCTATGTGTCTTCTCTATCTCTTTAATTTTGTTGTGTTTTGTTTTTCTTGCGCTAAAGATAGGTCCCACTGAGCCAAGCCCCCAGCCCCTCACTGGGTGATTCTAGGCAGGGGCTCTGCCACTGAGCCATGCCACAGGCATTTTTTCACCTTTGTGTCCAGAACCTCTGTTGAGGTTCTGTTTCTTTTTTTTCTTTCTTTTTCTTTTTTTGTTTGTTTGTTTGTTTGTTTGTTTGGAGACAGGATGTCACTACATATCCCAATTAGACTCAACCACTTCATCACCAGCCTCGGGCTCTAGATTACTGGAATTACGTATGTTTAATACTCTGGATCCTCTGTGATTCCTCAAGCTCTGTTCCTCTGTCACTCTTCCTCCCCCCCATGTCTGTCTCTGTGTACATTTCTCAGAAATCCCTGAACTGGGGCCCAGTAGCTGTGTAGCTGGAGTGGCTTGAGCTGTTCTTGGCTTTTGACTTATTAGAGGCCCAGTCCCTGTGCATGGCTATCAGCTCCTCCGAGGGGTTAAGATGGAAGCGGAAGTGACCTGCTATCCACGGCTATGCCAGGGATGCAGACTGAGGAAGGGATGGGGAAACAGGAGAGCTACAGAGAGAGCTGGAGAGACGGGATGTGGAGCTCAGAGACGGAGAGAGCGAGCCCGAAGAGAGCCGAGACAACAAACGAAGGAGGGAGGCAAAGAGAGAAAGGAGAGAGAGAATGAAACAGAGGCGACATGCAGGGCACACAAAGACAAAAAGGCCGAAAGAGGCATAGACGGAAGAGAGAGAAGTGGAAGCAGAAAAGTCGTTGAGGTTCGGAGCACACATGAAGAGATAGAGGCTGACAGAGAAGCCGTGGGAGAGAGACACAAAGACTAGAAAGATGAGGGTATAAAGGCAGGGCTAAGGGTGTGGCTCAGTGGTAGAGCCTCTGCCTAGAATTCCCCAGTGAGGGGCCCCAGTAGAGCTCAGGGTGTGAACCCATGCTGAGCACACAGACTATCCTGAGTTCCAATCCTGAACACCAAAAAAGAAAGGAAGAAAAGAAAAACATGAAGGCTTAGAATGAGGGAGACAGTGAGGTAGGAGTTGTATGCAAGACCCATTGATGGATCTTCCTGGAGAGGAGGAAGGGGGGGGGGCTGTCCAGACTCATGCAGCAAGCAGCCAGGGATGCTAAGATTGTAGCATGAGGACCGTCCGGCTTCAGCATCTTCTCCAAGCAAACACACGTGTAGTGTCTGGGTGTGCTTGGGTGCGTCTCCTTCCTTCTCCAGCCATGTGTCACTGAGTGGGATCATGCTGTGTGCCATGGGGTGGAGCACCCCCACGGGGTGTGTTTTTGTCACTGGGCGTGTCTCTGTGTGTGTGGTTGGGAGTCTCTGGGTGTGTCTGTTGGGCTGCATTAGTGTGGTGCCAGACATGCCTATCCATGGGTATCTCATTTCCCTGTGGCTGGCGGGTCCATAGTCCTGAATGCCACAGGACACTGGGAGGCAAGGAGTTGTGTCTGAGCATTTCTCTGTGAGTGGGGACCATGCGGTGAGTCACCACGTCACAACATCACTTTGTGTTTGCTGTCGTGTGGTTGCCATGCATGGGAGCATTTAAGGTCCCAGAACATGGTGTGTAGCTTCGTGTGTCTTTTTGTCACTGTGCTATTTGGATCTCTGTATTGCACACAACATCCCATTCCTGTGTCACGTTCACCGTGTGTCTTTGTTTTGTCTCTTGTGTGTATATGAGTGTGTGCTCTGTGTGTGAGTATGTCACTATGTGTGTGTGTGCTCTGTGTCAGAGTGGAGTGTGCAGGGCATATGTGTGTGTGAGAGAGTGTGTGTGTGCATTGTGTTGGGTAGAGAGGTGCCAGTGTACATGTCTGTATGTGAGTAAGAGTGTGTAAGTGTGTGATTATATGTGTGTGTGTTCTGTGGAGTGTGTACTGGAGTAGAGAGTGCAGGGTGTGTGTGTGTCTGTGTGTGAGTGTGCGTGTTCTGTGTTGGAGTGCAGTATGCAGAGTGTGCATGTCTATGTGTGTGTGTTGTCTGTGCAGTGGGCTATGCAGGTGTCTGTGGTGGTCAGAGGCTGATGCCAGGATCATCCTCAGTTATGCACCTCCTGTCTGTTTACAGTGTGCGTGCATGGTGATGCAAGGCGGTCAGAGGACCACCTGCAGAAGTCTGTTCTCTTCTTCCACCATGCGGAATCTGGGAATTGAACCCAGATCACCAGGGTTTGCAGTTGGTGCTCTTACACCCCATGAGCCAACTCACTAGCCCTGCATCTCCTTTACCTCCAAGAGTTTGTTGACTCAGGTAGGATGGTTTCAGGGATCCATCCAACTGCACCACCTCCCCACTCAATGCTGGGGTTACAGATGTGTGCCTGGGTACCTAGGCACACATTTTAAATAGTAATCTTAAAATTACTTATTTTATTCTAGTCGTGTGTGTGTGTGTGTGTATGTGTGGTATATGCCAGGTGTGTGCAGGTGCCAGAGGAGGTCAGAAGAGGGCACTAGATTCACTGGAGTTAAGGCTATTGTGAGCCACCCAGTGCAGATGCTGGAAACTGAACCAGGGTCCTCCACAAGGGCAGCACAGGTTCTTGCCTGCTAAGGCATCTCTTTAACCCCTGCACCAGATTTTCACAAATGTGCTGGGGATTCAAACTCAGATCCTCACACTTGTGCACACTTTACCAACTGGCCATCTCCCCAGCCCCATCTATGGGTTTTGTGTGTGTAAACATGCATGTAACATGGTGTCTCACTCAGTGAAATGACCTTGTGTCTCGTATCAGGATGTATGCCCACACTAAGAGTCTCTCTCCTGCCTGTGTGTTGTGGGTGTGTGGCCACACATGTTGGAGTATGGTGTGTGCAAGCATTGTGTGTGACTTTGGATCAATGGTGTGCTGATCTGGATGCTGGCTGTGTCTTGTGTGGCTAGAGTGCTGTAGAATGTCCAGCTTTGGGTAGAAGCAGCTTGTACCCTTCCATCTGGACTACTCTCTGACTGTAGGGTTGTATTATGTAGTGTGCTGGGGCACATGGAGTGTCAGACGTGTCAGGGATCACAGTCGGGAGTGTGCATGTGAGTCCCACGCACAGTGTGTGTTGCTGTATGTTTCCAGTTCTCTGGGCACTCCGTGTCAGCACCTGCCACCCTCAGGTGTTTGCGTGTATTGGGTACAACCCCACGTGTGTCACATCCACACTTGGGTATCTGTTGACACATGTATGTTGCGCCTGGTGCCTTTTACAATCCCTGTGTCCACACCTGATGTGTGTCTGTGTAGCTCTCGGTGCACGTTTCGTGTGGATGTTGGTGCTTAACTCTATGTAATAAAATATGAAGGGGATTTCCTTGGTTTTGGTTTTGGAGCCAGGGTCTCACATAGCTCAGGCTGACCTTGAACTCACAGCTGAGGAGGACCTAGAACTGCTGATCCTCCTGCCTCAAGCTCCCTTATGCCAAGGTGCAGGCTCGTGCCACTGCCTGCTTTATGCCATGCTGGGGACAGAACCTCAGGGCATCTTCATGCTGGATGAGAACTCTGATGGTTGCACTCGTCCCTGGTTCCATTTTAATTTTTTTATTTAAGATATATTTTTTATTTATTGCGTGTGTGTATATCTATGTGAATGAATGCCACATGTGTGTGGGTGCCCGAAGAAGCCAGAAAAGGGTGTCCGATCCTCTGAGTTGAAGTTGCAGGTGTGGTTGCAAGCTTCTGGGTAAGTGCTGAGAACAGAAGTTAGACTTCTCAGAGTTGCACTGGCTCTGAACTGCTGTGCGGTCTCTCCAGCCCCTCCCCCAGGCCCACTTTGAGCAGCGTGTGTGACTACAACCTTTGGGTGGCCCCGTGTGCCACGGGATGCTGCTGCCCTGCTAAATGCTGGCGTGTGTCACATACAGCGTGTGTGTGTGTGTGTGTGTGTGGTGTCTGGGTGTGGCTGTGGGTTTCTGAACTTTCGGGAGTTGTGAGTCACTTCTGTGGAGGTTGTGTGGTGTGTCCTGGTGTGTTGGACTCCATCTCCGGTCTGTCGTGGGGTGCTCTGTGGTGTCTGGGTGTGGCGAGTTGTAGGTGTGTACCACTGAGTGCAAACGGTTAGGGAGTCAAACTATTGTGTGTCAGAGTGTGTCTTTGCCCACGTGGATAGACTCTTCTTCCTTGCCTGGGGCCACAAGACACACCCCAGCCCCTCCTTAGTCTCAGAAGGGGATGGGATGGGCAGCCTCCCCCTACCCAGGGACCTCCCCGTCTCTCCCCGCCCTGCCCTGCCACAGTTACCACTCCCCAGAGGGCACAGGGCTAGGCTGTGCCTTCCAGCAAAAGTCCCAGAGTGAGCAGAACGGGCCTCCGGCCTGGAAGCCAAGCTGGCTGCCATTTGCGTACTGAGAGGTGGGGGACCCTGGGCAGGAAGCTGGCTGAGCCCCAAGACCTCAGGGACCATGGGCGGGGAGCTGGTGACTGGCCTGGGGGCCCTGCGACGGAGAAAACGCCTGCTGGAGCAAGAGAAGAGGGTGGCCGGCTGGGCACTGGTGCTGGCGGGAACTGGCATCGGACTCATGGTGCTGCACGCTGAGATGTTGTGGTTCCTGGGTTGCAAGGTGAGTAAAGAGCCCTTCCACAGAGCAGGGAAAAGAGCTAGGGTCTTAGACCTCTGGGTGTGAGAAAGGAGGGCTAGTCTTATCTAGTTCTGGGTCTAAAGGGGTGGGGGTGGGGGGCTTTTAAGGTTTGAGGGAGGAGGGCTGGGTCTGGACCTCCTGGTTCTGAGGGAAGAGGGAGCTAGGGTTGGACCCCTGGGTGTGAGGGAGGAGAGCTGAGGTTTTGCAATCCTGGGTCTACCAAGGAGAGTCTGGACCCCTGAGACCTGAGCAAGTGTGATACACCCTACACCTTCCCCAAGCCCTCCCTGCACGGAAAGGGAGGTGGCTCCCAGGGTCAGTCTTTGAGTAAGTGTTGTCAGACTGCTGGGGGGATCCAGGCCTTGCTGAGGACCCTGCAAAGCTGACCCTTGATAGCCCAGCTCCGGCGAAGGGAGCGAGGGGGAGAAGAAGTTATCATTAGGCGGTGTCTCCTTGCTCCTTATCTAGCCTTTACCGTTTACTCGGTGCCACCCGGCAGTAACCGACAAAGGAAAGGTGGGAAGTGGTGCCTCCACCCCCACACACTACACAGACGCTTGATTTCCCCCAGAATGCACCTGTTATTCACTTGCCAGACAGTGGTTTGAACTTCTAGTCCCTGAAGAAGCGAAGGCTGGGGGTTCAGACTTAAGAGTCGCAAGAGGAGGAGGCTGGGAGAGTTGCGCCAGGCATGGTGGTGGCACACCGGTGATCCAAGCACTGGGGACATGAAGGGAAGAGTATCAGAAGTTTAAGGCCAGCCTGGACTACACAAGACCTTATTGCAAAAAAAAAAAAA